GCTACCTATGCGATGCGCCTACCTATGCGATGCGCCTACCTTTGCGATGCGGCTACCTTCACAATACATCACTACATTCTCAAGTCTGGAAATCTGGCTTTGTTGAGATGCTACAGGACTCACTAGACAAATCACTAACTTTGTGGACCTATAATATTTACTAATATGACTTTTTATCCATTTCACATTGAACTAAATTCAGTTTTGTTTGAATGATTCCGGTTTACTACTTAGAATGATTCCATTAGAGTGCATAAATATATTTTAAATGTAACCGAGATGTATGCATTCATCAAAATGCAAAAACATAAGCTGCTTCTCTGAAAAAGTTTGCTGTCTTTTGAAAGAGGCACTTTGCATACAGGAACTGTGCTTTTACGGCTAACAGTATAATGACCCTGTCAACAGGCCATAATTAATGCTATATGTAATAAAACCTGCTATTTCCTCTTAAGCTTATCTCTGTGATCAGATTTGGCTGCACTTCCATTTCAACGTTAAATCAAACTAGTCAAGAAGATGCCAAAAATAAAACAGATTTGATTGTTTTAAAATATGATACTAGGAAAAGCAAATTAAGAAATCCATATGTCAGATGTAAAAGAAGAAAGGAGGAACGAGTACAATGGGGACGTATACAGGCAATTCTTAACTGACACAAGCAATCTGTCCCACAAAGCCTGACATAAGTCAAATTTTATGCGAATCGGATTGGTCCAACCGTACCATTCAAAACACCTTACAGCAAAAAATGGAGGGATCACATATACTATTAGTATGTGATAAAGAGCACATATTAAATAAATGAAAAAATAAAGTGCACATTTACTTACAGGTGCATGATGCCTTAACGCTTCTGTAAACTATTTGTACCTTGGACAGGTTTACTTAATCTGGTTTAACGTAAGTCAAGAGCTGCCTTTAATGGAGAGTCTGGAGAAGATGCACAGAGCCACCATGCAGCCACAGCAAGTTGGCCAGCTTACCTTCGCTGTCAGACACAACACTTTGCATGTCCTCTGTCAGCAGTGCCAAGTCTCGGTCGTATACACGTGCACGGGATTCCACCCGTGACCTGGACTCCTCCTTCATGTGTTGCTGTACCTCAGGGAGGGAGTGGCTGGAGCCAAACTGGTCCCTTAAGTCAGCTGATATGGGTGGGAGGGGCCCCGCGGATGCCCGAGCCATTCCCATTGGCTGGCCGACAGGACTCAGCGGACTCTCCTCCTCGGAGTTTTGCGCTATGATGGGAATGCGGCCCCTGCTCTGGCTGATGGGAAGGATGGACGGCTTGGCCCTCAGGATAGAGGTACCATCACTCTCCATCTTTAATCTCAGTGAAGAACTGGACAGGTCCCTCTTGATGGAAAGGTCAATTCCGTAGACCGAGCATGGCCTGGAAGAAGGTCGCGACCTGCTACCACTTGGATACACAGCGCTGTCTGGGATGGGTGATCTTGAGTGGGGGCTTAGGTTCAGTGATTGTCCTAGATTGAGAGATTGTGCAATACTAACTCCAAGATTGGATCCAAGGTATTTTTGCTGCTCTGTGATGTTCTTCCTAAGTCCAAAAGTAAAATTGTCCTGTAGCAGCCGTGATCGGGATGTGAGCCCACTAACTGATGTGCCACTGGGTGTTAAATAGCTACTATAATCCAGCCCAAGGTCTCTGCTTTCATGGATAGAAGAAAACTTTGTGAGTTTTGGGTCCAGTGTTGCCTTTTTATGTTTGGCTTGTTTCTGGTAGAGCACAGAGGCCGGTAGCTGCTTTGCCGCCTGCTTCTCTAATGTCAGCCGGCCGATGCTGTACTTATCAGCCCTGGGAAAGTGCCGGTAGCCACTGTCGCTGGGGTAGCAGTGGGGCAGGCCCGTCAGGGGGTCCAGGCCGCTCGCCCCTCTGCGGAACTCCTGCTTTATCTGCTGCTTCAGGAGCTTCAGCTCATAGGGTTCCTCCATGGCATCTTCCTGGACCTTCATGCAAGGATGAAGCCTGGAAGATGCCTGCAGTGGTCCCAGGAAGTCCCGCAACTCTGCGGCACGGAGCAGCCGGTCGGCCTTGGCCAGGTCTTTGTCGGGAATGCTGAAGCTGGAGGATAGCCCGCTGGAACCCTTCGTAAGCTCACTGATGTCATTGAGCAGGACGTAGCTCTTGGGGGCGTGATGATCTACATCCGTGTACAGGGAGTCGGCAGAGATGCTGGACATAGGGCTGCTGGCGATGCTGCCTCTTTCATCTACACCCATCCTCAGGCTGCTATACTTGCCCCCGAGATGGGTTAGGTCATAGGTACTGTCTGTAGAGGGGCCCAACAGCACGTTCGGGTTACGTATGATCTCATAGTTGGTGGTGATCTTCGTCTCCAATTCGGAGAGTGTGGAATGCCGGGATTTCTGGTACACTTGTGACCCGGAGTGCTGGTGTGACGCCTGGGGGTAGGACAGTGTGGGATCCGTGTAAATGGACTGAGTCTGGTATGGCGATGCTTGTGCACACTCGTAGAAGGTCTGCGGAGGGGTCTGTGTCGGTGAGGCATACTGGTACACAGAGTACGGGCTCTTTTTCGCACCCTGTGGTGGGATGAACTGCTCAAGATCCGACTGCGGTGCCGTCTTGGGTCTCTCGAGTATGTGGCTGTCCGCCGTCGGCTCACGGATGTTACTGACCTCGCTGTCCGACATGTAGTCGCGCTCCTCGGCGACCCCTTGCAGGTAGTCCCTCTCCCGCTTCTCTCGCTCCTTCAGCAGCGCATCCTTCCTGCGATTGATGCCCATCTCCAGGTACCTCAGCTTGGCGTCGATCTCCTTCTCCTCCTCGTCCAGCTCGGCCTGCTTCTTGCGGAGTTTAGAGGACTCCCGCTCCACGAGGCTGAGCTCCCTGTCGATGTCCTGCAGGATCTTGGCACGTGCCATGGTGATGTTCCGGCAAAGGCGCCTGCGGGCGGAGCCGGTGCTGTAGCCGCAAGGGCTGAGCATGGGCTCCTCCTCTTGGGGCGGGTTAGGGAGAGTACGCCTCACTTTCTTTTGGGTGCCTTTTCCCTATGAGTAAAGGATACACCAATTAAAGAACACATTACGTGACGGTAAGATTTAAATGATTTATTTAAGTCTTTTGGGCCACAAAATTAAAAATCTATAGTAGCTCACCTTCCAGCTGATTCTTATAAGACATTAATCAGCGCAAGGAATGTAAATAAAAGTGTGCAGATCTCTGCTGTTTCTAAGGAGATTATTTTTTTACATGTATTTACGTGAATATGTGACAAAAAGGAAGACAATCAGATGCTACCTATATACAGGCAGTTTTGGACACAGGTAATTTATTCAGATTAAGATTCTGTAGATTTTGCCCTGGACTCACATTTCTGTGCAAACTCAGCTCTGACTGTCCTGCTGAATCTCACTGTGAAACCTGCTCAAGTCACTCACTTCCTAGCTCACTTCCTAAAGCCCAGGAGAAAGATCTTCTCCGTTAATATAACGCTACGTTTATGTTAATATAACCCAACATTTACATTCATATAACCCTACATTTACGCCCTCCCTCTTGCAAAGTACCTTGCTACTGGCCTCTGCAATCGAGGCTGACCATATCATTACCTCTTCAGAATAATCATATTAAAATACAACGCTATTGGAAATAGATGGAAATTAATGAACATAAAAATTCATTCAACAACAATGGTTCTCAAACGCTTTGTCTGGAGACCCCTGAAAAAAAGAACATTGGTTCAGTCTCGGGATCCGTTTCAATACAGTTTGAGAACCAATAATGTTGAAAACCTCAAATCTAACACTTTCACAACCTAATGGAGATTTTGCCCTTGAATTACTTCACTTTTCTGAGCAGACAGCATGGCACCATAAGATCAATATATTTCATTTATACAGTAAATCTTTTTCCATCCAAAAGTCCAGTTGGTGTCAAGAATTGGTCTAAAATGGGGAGTTTTCTACTACTACTACTCGTACTACTACTACTACTGTACTACTACTACTACTACTAATAATAATAATAATAATAATAATAATAATAATAATAATAATAATAATAATAAACCTTACTCCAGACAGGTCAGTGGCAGAGTACAGTATGAATTACTGGGTTAATTGTGAACTTGGAACCCTCTGAAGGTGGGATATGATGTGTATTCAGATGCTGTCTTGAGGGATGCAAATGTGGGCTTTGAACCCAAAATAAATTCAAATGCACCAGCAGACAGTCAGCATCACTGCGAAAAATCCAAGTACAGGCTGTAAATGAACGGCCAGGCAGGCTACTGCACGTGGTAGGAGAGCCGCAAATGGAAGCCTGGGTTAATGGCTGGCTAACGTGCTCTGTAAGCAACCGCATGAAAATCATACGCAAAATTAAATAAATTAAATACATTTAATTTCATTTCATTTAATGAAGTTGGGGGCAGGGGGGTAGATAAAAGGCAATGTATAAAAGCCTATGTATTAAAATACTATTCAAAGACAGTGTGCAAATGGTAATACATCCAGACATGAAGAAGATTCATCTTGTATTTTACTGAATGGAGGATCCATTGCATCCCGCCAAACGGCACTTACTGAATAGCTGTCGGAGAAGTGGAAGCTAGAGCCCGTCTGCCTGTCGGCCGTGAGCTTTGACATGTTCAGGTCCATCGGCTGTGTGCTGTTCGGGGCATTCGAAGACTCCGAGCTGAAAGTATCATGCGGGCTTGAATCTCCAATGGATTTTTCGTAAGAGACGTACTCCAGAGAGGTCTTGGGGGACAGAGGAGAGACCGGCGAGAACAGCACCTTGGGAGACTTGGGAGTAGACGGTGCTACCTGCAGAGAGGACCCGTCTGCTTTCAGGTGAGCGGAGTAGCCTATTTCTAAAGGGCCTGGCCTCCTCTTATCTCTCTGGGGAGACCTCCTCTCCGAAGTCAAGCTGCCGCCCCTGTGCGATTTTTCTGGGGAGCATAACTCTACCTTAGTATCAACGTGGGCCCTGACTGATGGCCGTTTCACAGGCCCAGAGGGCTCTGTCTGGACTGAGATTTCGGCTACCGTCTGGATGGCAATGCTGGACAACTTGGAGGACTGCTTCCCCCTCTCTCCCTCTGCCGATCTGCTGGACCGTGCCCGGCGCCGGCTCCTGCTGGGGACATCCCACTCATCTTGGTCCTCCTCGTCTGTCTGAACACTGCTGTCCACGCTCTTCCTGGCCCTCCTTCTCCTCCCAGCGTAAGCCCTGTCCGCTACATCTTCACTGTCAGCCTGGACCCCACTGTCTACTGTTGTCTTCTGGCCGTCAAGCTGTATTGTGTTGCTGAGCTGGAGGTGAACCTGTCCATCTGACTCTTTTAGGGCTACATCAGATCCTGGCATGATTGGTATATATTTGCCAACTCCCTGAGTGGGAAGTGAAAACCAGGCCTGGTTCTGTGGGGTCTCTAACCCAGTAACCACGGAAGTTGCAGTGGTCTCATCCTTCACTGGCCAGAATTGTGTGTCGTCATGCCCTACGTACTGAATGTCCTGTGGTATCTGCTCGGAACCGCTGAGCGGAGGAACCCCCTCAGAGGGATCATAGCCATACACTTCCCTCATCTTTTGCTCCTGCAAGTGCAGCTGGAGCTGCTGCTGGAGTTGGTGTATCTGCTCCAACTGCAGCTGATGCTGGGCGTACGTCTCCTGCTGCATCATAAGGTGAGCCTGGCGCTCCTCCTCCTGCTGGAAGAGGAGCTGCTGCTTCATCGTCTGCAGCTTCTCCAGTTCCTGCTGGACGATGATCTGCTCGTGCTCCCGGAACATCTGCATCTCCTGCCGTTCCCACTCGAGCTCCTCCGCCTGACGAAGCTGCTTCATCTTTTCCAGCTCAAGAAGCTCACGCTCCTTCTGAAACTGCTGCTCCTGGCTGCCGTCCGACCCCTGAAGGACTGGAGCGCTGAAAGGTTGTGTTGGTGCTGCTACGGTCTCCAGTGGTGCGTCAATGTATGCGCCAGGGACCCCCGTTACCATAGGAATGACTGCAGGGAATGCTGAAGGGAGAGTCTCCTTTCCAGTTTCTATGAGAACACATCCATCTCCCATCGTGGGGGTGGTTAAAAAACTATATGACGGTGAAAGACACTGATCACCTCTGGAATGCATTCCTAAGAAATCTTTATATGCTGTACTAAATATGGAGACTGGCTGGGTCGTGATTGCATATGTAGAAGGAATAGGTACTGCGACGGAGGAGTACACTACTCCATTCGAACATTTCAAGACACTATTCACACTGAAGTGTGTCCCAGCCGCTGGACGTTGGGCGGCATATGGAGGAAGAGTCATCCTCGCATATCGCTCCGCTGATCTACTTGAGTAGTCCATAATTTCACCTGTAGACATAAGTGTAAAATTATTTCTTTCAAACAAGGCATTTCTGCAATGGCAGACAGGACAGTAAAGCTTATTCAGGTGTCAGAAAGCAAACCAGAGCGCATGCAGAAACGTCCAGCCTCTCCAGCTTGGCACCATGCCATGCCAAAACCATCTGTGGGCACACGCATGCGTCTGTGCACAAAAATACGTCAAGACAAAAAATGTAAAATGACTCGGAGATCAACACAAACACTTTTCAAAAATGAAGACACAAAAAAAGAAAAAGAACAAAAAAGGAAGAACAAACATCAGCCCGGTATAAGTGGAGGCAAATCAAAATGATATTTCAGTGACAGATCGGCAATGCCCTCATACTGACCTGTGGACATTTTTCCAGATGACAAGTCCACAGCGCCCTCCACTGGCCCATTATGATAATCATAACTATTTTTGCTTTTATAGAAGAACACTCCTGCCTCGGATAAGTTGGTATCAGACATCGAGGGTTTCATGCCACAAAAACCCTTGCTGCCGGCAGGTCCTGAGCGATTGTATTGGTAATGATCATCTCGGTATCCGAACCGGTCTTCTGGAAGGGCTGGTGCTGGCTGCGGTGTTGTGCATATGCCTGCGAAAGGAAGTTTGTAGACCATGTCGCAGCAGACAGCTCGTCGTCCCCCTGTAAGGTCCACAGGCTGGGGGTCATCCTCAATAACAGTGGTGAAGACCTCGGAGGTCGACTCCTCAAGAGTGACTACAGTTTGAAGCGGCTTTGTTTTGGTTAGGTCCACCGCCCCCACCACCCCGGTCTCAATACACATGGTGCCATTGGTCATGCTCACTGGAACATCACCAATGGGTGACTTGGATGTCTCTATGCCAGTAATCGCCCCAAGAGAAAGATTAATGGGAGTGTCGATACAGAAGCTACTCAAAGGTTTTGAATCTAAAGGCCTATATATTATTTGGGCAACAGGCTCAAATGTCTTGGATGTTGTTAGCTGAAGAGGAGTTGAAAAAACAGAAGCATGAGTCAACGGCCTGTCCATAACACTGCTGGGTGTCACTGTGGCAGAGCAGGTGACAGTTATACTGTCAGTAACAAAAGACAGGGTCGGAACCGGTGATGCTGCCGCACTGAGATTTACTATCGCCGAGTGTACGGCACTCGTTGGACGTCCACTGCTATCACTTGAAAACGACTGCCGCCGAGAATCCAGGGAAGACAGATCCATCCCTTTCTCAGTCATGGGAATGCTGATCTTCAAAGTACGAAGATCCACGACATCTCCAGAGTAGGGAACCGTGCCATTTTCTTTTGGCTTTAGTTGCACTTTGGTTGCCATTTCGGAAGGAATGCTGATGGCAATGCTAGGACTTCTGGGAGTGGGCGAAGGCGGTAACCTTTCACAGATCAGAGAGACCATTGTTCTCTGAACTTCTGTGGTGACCACTTGGGTGACGAGGTTAGGAAAACTAGCAGGCTGCCCAGAGACTGAAACAGCCATGTGTCCTCCATGCATTCCCTGATGTTCCACAGACTTTGTGTACTGAGTAAATGGAGTAAATGCATTAGGTGCATCAAAGGTCGAATGTGCCATTTTGGTTTGGAACACTTCACATTTATTTGTGGATACTTGGGTAGTTATGCTTTCAGTTGGTGAGTTAGGCTGTGAAGGTAAAGTGATGACTACATATGCTCCATTTAAGGAGCTTCCACTCCTTGGGGTCCGCGGCGACTTAGGTGATGCTGCATTCATTTGGCACTCTGGTGAAGTGCTCAAATTTAATGACAGTGCAGAGATGCTATGTGGAGATGTGGGCAGTGTGCTGCTTGTTATAGGTGGCTGACTAACAGTATATTTATAATGAGGTGAAAGAGCCTCCTCTTGATGAATATTGACTGGTAACCTATCTGGGATAGGTGACAGTATTGGTGGAGGCACCTGTGGTCTGTACATTGAGTATGATGTACTTAGGTCTCTAACTGGTTCAGTCTCAGGAGCCATTGTCATAGGTTTTGAAAGGGCCAGTGGTCCAGTAGGTGAAATTATTGGTGGTGGTGGTGCTGTGCAAACAGGTGGCATGTCTCTAAGGGAGAAAGGTGGCTGAGGTTGGTAGGGGGGAGGTAAGGATTGTGTTTTAAGAGGTCCATCTACTCTTTCCTGGGATGAGTAGCTGAGTAATGCTACAGGACTAGGGGGCGCTGTTCGAACAGAAGATGTTATTAGAGCACCAGGAGTAGACCCGATTCTTGGTGGAGAGGAAGAGTATAGGGTTATAGCAGGTAAGGATGAAACACCAACAACTGCAGAAGATACAGGACTGTCCACTGGTTTCACATATTTTGATGAATGGGTAATTAAAGAATCAGTATCCAAGCTGGGCACTGAGATCACAACGTGCTCCTTTGTAGATGACTTCTGAGGCGGCATGGCATATGATTTAGTAGTAAATGTGCTTGAGATAGTTTCTGTCTGAGGAGGAGCCACTGATCTCTCAACATCTGTGGCCTTCATGGAATCTTTCACACCACGCTGTATGTCCACAACTACAGAATGCATGTATGTGGACAAATTAAGTGGTGATGGACATGGAGGTGGTGCAGGCTGGCTGCTGGAAGCTGTCACTGGTGCTGCAGGGACAGATGCATTAGAGACTGTAACCAGTTCTAAACTTGATTTTAATTCTGGGGATGGAACAGTGGTTGGAACGAAAATAGTGACTTGAGCCATGACAGGGGGTAAGGTTGGAGGTGCTTTCTCTAAGTATGGATGGGGTTTTGAAGCTGAAATCTCAGTGGATGCAGCAGACAAGTCTAGAGCTAGAGGTGATGAAGCTGAGGTATCCTTTACTTGGGGAGCTGAAGTATCCTTTGCATAGGGCACTTCACAGACAACTGTTAAGGGTTCTATTTCAGCGGGGGGTAAAACTGGAGGAAGAAATGAAGCAGGACCCGGAGCAGAAGTACAAGTGGAATGAGGAGCTGGATTATCTGTTACTTTGGGGACTTCAGAAATAACAGATATTGGTTCCATTTCAGCAGAGGCAGAAGCTGGAGTTGGATCAAGAGCAAGGACTGAAGTAGGATGTAGTGATATGTTTGAATCATGAAATGGCAGGGAAGGTGAAGTTGAACTAGATATCGTTTGAGCTTCGAGACAAACAGCAGATAATGGATTCAATTCAGAAGAAGTTGGAAGAGGAGGTAAAGCCACAGCCAGAGGTGGAGCTCCAGCTTTAACTAAGCTTTGTGTTTCTGCTGGAGATGGGACAGTCACTGGGTGCGGGACACAAATCATTGATACTGGCTCTGTGTCTGCAGAAGTGGTGACTGAAACGGGAAGAGGGGCTGGACGTGCAGTGACTGTTGGCTTGGGCATTTCACAAACAACTGATATAGGTTCCATTTCATCAGCAGTTTGTGCATCAGCACTGCTGTCGCTTGTCATAAATGATTGCTTGTCTTTAAACTTCTCTTGGAGAATTTGTGGAGCATCAGACAATGGGACTATATCCTGCTTTTCTGTAACATGGTCTCCTTCTACATCTTCCTCTGCAGATGAGCACCGAGTTATTTTCAGATCAGGTATAAGGTGGACAGTCCTAGTGAGACTAATATCTGAATATATGTTTGAATCAACATAATCATTTTGACCACTAGCATGGACTGGTATTTTAAGTTTTTCTGTAACGCCATCTTTGGAAGAAATCAACTGTGGTGAGTGGGACACTGCCTGGGTGGGACTTGCTCCAGGTGTTACAATGGTGCTTTGTTGACTGATTAATCCCATAATTGCAGCATCAACTATAACAGTGTTTTCATGTTTTTCTGTGTCACTTGGAGACACAGCTACAGAGAAAATATCACTGACAGGAGGCAGTATCACAATCTCTTGCAAATGTTCACTTATCTGCTGAGTTGGTTTTGGTTTCAGTTCTTTCAGTGTTGAATCCTTCCCTTCTTGTGGCATACCTTCATACTCCTCTGGTGACTTTTTATCCTCTTCATGCACTGAAAGCGTACCTGTTCCTTGCTCTGGAATCATTATTTGAACTTGGTCTTTAGTTCTACGCTTTGGTTTCTCCTCAACTACAGAATGAAGCGATGGTTCACGTATTTTCTGCACAGCGGGAATCTGACTTGCACGACACTCTGCTGCCTCAGATTTAGGTTCAATGCCTGAGGAATCTGCAGGCGATCTGTGGAGTTTTTCCATTTCCTCTGACTGTCGCAGCTCTTGTGTTGGAGAGGCATCTTCAATGGGGGGGAGATTCCTTGGAGGAGGGGCTGGATGTTCTCCTCTCCTCTCTGAACACATCTCCTCTTTTCCTTTCTTAGACTTTCTACTGGAGCCCCTCTTTGCCAGATGCTGCTGATCCATGTCGCCCCACCTGTCTTGCTCCCTGAGGAGCTCTTCTTCTCGCATTTCCTCTTCCTCAGAGGAGTCCTCAATAGTTGGCAGTATGTGGCCATGTTGCCTGTGTCTAGCCTTTCTTTGTTTACTTTGCTCACTCAGTTTCTTATGACTCGGACTGCTGTCACTATCCTCATCCATTGAAGACACTGAAGTTGGTGATGTCCCAGGTGTAAAACTGGATGCATGAAAGCTGGAGGATCCTTCACCCTTTGACCTGTCCTCTGGGGAATTAGGTAGGCTTTCCAGCTCATCATCAGCTAAACTCTGTTGTACAGGGCCTACATCTTTGTATGGTAAAGTAGAGCTATACTCATGGTCTTGTTTCTCAGATGGTCTTTCCTCAGCTTCATCATAGCTAATACTGGTTGTTTTGACAAGCTTCTTGTACTGGCCAGAGGTACCTCCCTCTTTACCCTTTCTCTCTTCCTGCTTGTGCTTCTGCCAATGTATGTCGCCCTTTTCATCCTTGTGCAAATCCAGGTGCCTCTCTGTTATAGATTTCCTTTTAACGTCCTCTTCATCGCTGATGGACAGGTTTTCCTGCACTCCCTGCACTACTGTTGAGGTTTCAGCCACAGTATGGTCCTTGACAGAATCATAAAATTGTGCTCCACTTGTGATTGCATCATTTACCTTCAACTTTCTGTGGCTGGCAGAGAGTGACTGTTCCTCTTGTTGGACTTCTGCTGGCATTGCATGTGTATGGTGCGATTCTGGGGATACAAGTGGAGTTCTTGGGCTGTGGTCTTTTTCTTCATTTCCATCATCATTTAAATGATTGTCAGTTCTGCTTAGCTGAACTTTGGATGTTGTTAGTGCACTTGTTTCTAAGTTTGTCATATCAGAAGAACTTGAAGTGATCCTCTGGCCAGCAGTGTCTATATCTTCTAGAGGGGCTCCTTCAATTTTAATTTCTTCCTCTGTCCCTTCCGAAGGTTGTGCTATTGATGTTGTCCTTGAAAGTACTCTGCCTGGAGGTGGTGTTGCACCTGCCTCCTCTGGAAGAACATCTGAAGCTTCATGTGGATGAGCAGGACCACAGTAAAGAAGCGCCTCTGCTTGATCTGCAGACTTATGATGAGCCAGTTCTAATTCTGAAGGGGAAGCAGTTGAGTCAAGAGGAAGAAAACGTTCAGGAGGAGCAGTAACAGCTTCAAGAGAAACAGTTCTAGATTCTGGGTGAGAAGAAAGCATAGGTACTAAAGCAGGCTTCTCTGGAGGAGTGACAGGGTTAGGAGGTGGAGTTTCTTTTGTTATTACAGTAACATCTTCTGGAGAAGGTTTTAACACCGAAGGAACAGTGGTAGTCTGCACAGAGTCAGTATCAGGCTGTGGGTGGCCAGCGGCTTCTACAGCTGATGGTGTAGGCTCAAACAAAGGAGAAGGAATTTGAGAAGCAGCAGACTCTGTAGATGCACTTTGAGAATCAGAGAAATCTGCACTGGACTCTGACGAAGAAATGGCAACTTCATGGGGAAGAGTAGGTTCAAGGTCAGTAATACTCTCAAGATAAAACTCAGTGTCTTTTGAAGGATCCACAACTTCAGGGGCAAGACTAGGCTCATAAAGAGAATCTATATTTGCCTCAAGGGGTCCAGTCACAGTAGCTTGTTCCAATGTGTGAGCTACAAAAGGGGGCACATGCCCAGGAGTGGCAGCATCAACTTTAGGAGAAGAACTTAGCTCAGCAGAAGTATCAGTGGAAGTACTCGAACCTGTAGATTCAGGAGAGGGACTGGCTGTAGCTGGAGCTGCAGGAGGTTCAGAGGGAGGAGTATCAACTTCAGTGAGGGGGCTATCTGCAGAATGTTCCGATTCTGAAGAAGCAACAGCAGCTTCAGGGGGATGTATAAGCTCGGGATGTGCAACTTCAGGGTGTTTAAGACAAAGTTTTGGCTGAAGAGGTTCTGGAGAAGGTAGAGATGTAGGCCCTAGAGGAGCAATCTCACATGGAGGAACAGGAGTGGCATCTTTTTCAGGAGGTGTGGACTTGGGGTCCTTTATTCGAGGGGATGTAGAGTCAGCAGGGGCAGCCGTGGTTTCAGAAGCAGAGCCAGCTGCCTTGCTAATCGAGGCGCGCTTAGGAGAAGCAGATGGAGCCTTGTGATCAGCAGCGGTCTTTTGGACACCAGTGGGTCCTGAATGGGTGGCTTCTTTTGCAGGGACGGCCTGACTTTTCTGCTGACTGGCTGGCTTTGATGGGGGGGGCAGGGGTGGCGGTGGCGTCATGCCCATGTCTCCAAGCTGTCCAGCAAGGGCCCGTTGTGTTTGGCAGCTCAAACAGAGCCACTCGTTCTGTAAAACAAAACGGGAGGCAAACAGATGTCAGTAATCCAGCGGGAACATCCAAAGCCTGTATGAACGTTGAGCTTTTTCAACACATACACTAAGAACAAGGTCTGAGTCCGCAAGGAGAGCCAAGATGGTGAATTACACAAGCAGCACATAGAAAGCACCTTCCACCCTGAGAGATAACAACCTCATCACGTCCTTCTTTTGGATTCACTATTAAATATGTTTTAGACAATTTCAACCTGGCTATAAAATAATCCTGCATTTATGATTCCATTGTAAAAAAAAGAGGCTGAATAATTGTCTTTTTAGAATGTCATTTAGGTAATTTCATGTTAATGTGTTAAAATTAATCAGTGGTCATCCCTCACAAAAGTGAATGAGCGACTCTGAAAGTGCACACAGCACTCTGCATTGCATCAGATAGAGCTGCGTGTAATAAACTGCTTTGAAATATCTATTAGTAGGCAAGATTGAAAACATGATTCAGTTTTATAGGGCAGTTACAGCTTTTCTAGCATAATGCAATTCCGGGTATTAAGTGCCCTCTGACGGAGACGTTAGCTCCTCATTTTATCTACGTTTCATTTCCAGGCCCAGTTGCGGTTTGTATCTCTATGCACCTGCACAAAGCCCCGCTGTCAGCACATTCTGCAGAAAAAAGGAAAACATGAAAATCGCTGAAATCACCGACTCTGCCACCGGTTTTAAGTTGTGCTCCACATTTAATTTCATCCTCTTCTGCTGACTAGGAAGAAGCTGCTGTCTGTCAGTAGCTATTTTGCTCAGAGCGTGCAGACTCCGTCACGCCGTCCCCCTCTCCTCCCCTGCCGCCCCGCTCCCCACGCAAGGGCCGCCGCACGCGCCGCCCGCCTTAGTCACGAAAAGCCAGCGCAGGGTGACGTCAGCCGCTCCAGTGAATCAGCCACTGCGTGACTGACCCTCCCTCTCTCTAATCTCAAACTGCCAGGGCTGCCGGGATTCCCGCTCTGTTCGTGCCTGATCACAGCTCATGCAGAGGACATCACGCAGCAGTGCATCATGGGAATGCTCGCATCACTGTGAAGGCAGTATACTGGCACCCGGTCGTACCCCTTTTCAGCCTGAGAGGTGCCAGAAAATCAATAAATATAGATCACGAGTAAAGGGCCAAGGCCGGAATAAATCGAGACATCTGGGAAACATGCTGTTCCATGGTCCTCCTCTTCCTGTCACTGAGTTATACAGGCACACAAAACATACAACAGCAGCATGCAGAACCCTCAGGATAACACGCTGTGAGACGAAGGTGACTAGGCTTGTAACGACTCAGTTCACGATTTGGTTCGACTCATGATGTCGGATTCATGATTCAATTTTCCCACAATATTTTTGAAAGAAGAAAAATTACATAAAGAAAATTTTATTACCAAAAAAAAATGCAGCATTTATTTTCCCATTCTTTACCAACTTAAATATTCCTTTTGTTAAATAAAAAGTATACAGTATGTTTTTTCATTTTCTTAATACCTAGCAATAAATATTTATAAACATTTGTAAAAGCTGGAGTAAAACATTTATTTCCACAATTTGAATCATCATAAATGTGTTCTGTGATTTATCATTGTACAAATATATCATTACATGTCTACAGGTGACCATAATCACTTAACACCAATTCAGTTCAAAACCAAAACATTAAGCATTATACAAAATTTACTAGAAACAGCTTTGGTGCCCTAGAAGAGAAATAGTTTCAGTGATTGCACGTTTTACTGATTTCAGGAAGGTCCGAGGTGAGTAATTTTAATGCGTGTAACGGATAAGACCTCCATCCATCAGTCCTGCTGCTGAGTGACTTTCTGCAACCCCTGATATGCTGAAATGTCATAAGCCATTAGTCCTGCGATGGTCAGAAAAGTCACATGCTGCTCATTCATCTGGAGAAGGAGCAAAACTCTTATGAGAAGCCTGGAGGCAAAACTGATTCAATTCAAGTGGTGGGAAGAAAGTGTGTGTTCAAGGCCTACTAATGTAAATGTACAAGTATGGCCATAGGCAAAAGCAAATACCCATTTGGCACAATAAGGCTTCCATGATTACTGCACATGTTTCTCTTCGACTGAACACTGATTCTGATAAATGCAGAGTACTATTCATAAAATCCACTCATAAGAACACTGCACAGAAAAATGCGGATTAAACTCAAATCAAATGTTAATAA